GATCCCCTACACACACACACACACACACACACACACACTCCGGACAGCCTCACCTTCTACATCTTTGGTGTAAACGTCACACACACACACACACACACACACACACACACACACACACACTCTCCGGACAGCCTCACCTTCTACATCTTTGGCGTAAACTTTGACCTGCAGGCTGATGTCTTCCCCATCCATCTCTGGAGACCCAGCCTTCTGTCTGTGCCCACCCTGGCCGTACCCCAGGACCCGCCAGCTCCCAGTGAGCTCAGCATCGTTCCCTAACCCCACTCATATTCCCACGTTCTCCCCGCTCATAATGGCCCCATCACCCCCACCCCAGTCACAGGCAGACAGACCCCCAGGTGCCATCCTAGTTCCCTCCCTCTCCCTTCCACCATCAGTGCCCCCCTGCCCCACCCTTCCTGTCCGCTGATCGCTTGCACTGTTCCCACCTCTCAGTCCCCATAGCCCCTGCTCCAGCTCAGGTTTCATCCTTTACCCTGGACCTTCACCCTGCTCCTCCCCTGCTCACAGCCCCCTATGGCTCCCCAGCACCTTAGCCTCAGGTTCAAGCCCTGAATGGTCTGGTCTCTCTCACACCCCCAGCCTCATCTTCTCTCCTCCAAGAAATTTTTTTACCCCTCAAAGCCCTCATGGTGGCCTTAACACCCCAGCTCCGTACTCCTTCATACCCACTGTGCTCCTGCACCATCCTGCACCCACGCCCTTACTTGCTCTTGCTTCCCGCCCTGCCTGAAAGGCCTTTTCCCTTTCTCACCCAGAGAACCCTGCTCATCCCCCAAGAACCAGCTCCAATGTCCCCTCCTCCAGGAAGCCTTCCTTGGTGCCCTCAGGGAAGAGCAGGCCTTGACCTCCTCTGGGAGCTCCTAATTGTTTATCTCCCCTCTGGGACAAGGGTGGGCACCAAGTCCAGGCCATTTCTGTGCCCTGGCACCGTCCAGTTCAGGGAGCCTAGGGAGACTCGAGGTGAATGATGAGTGAGTGAGTGAAGGGGCACATCCTTTGGCGAGTTCCCTGATCTCAAGGGAGAAGCCAGGTGGACAGCGAAGAGGGCTAAAGTGAGACGGGGCTGTCAGGAAGGGAAGGGACTTGACTAGCACGGTAAAGGGTGGCTACTTGTGTTTCAGGCAGAGATGAAGCAGGGGAACCAGTGCAGATGGGGGCGGGGGGTGCTGGGCACTGCACATAGGGCTGCCGAACTGGAGCTTCCCTAAGAGATGGTGACCAAGGGGCTGGCTGAGGGTGCGACTCTGCGGCTCCAGGCACTGGGGAGCCACGGCAGGGCTTTGGGCGGGGGAAGAACCAGTTCTGTCTGTGCCCACAGGGATCCGGGTGACAATCATTAAGCACCAGCAGGATACAGCATTGACTCACAGGCTAGGACAGATGCAGACCAAACCATGCCCAATGGGGATGAGCGTGACACTGTCAGGGTGGGCTGAGGCTGGGGCAGGAGGGGCCGTAACGACTTGGGGGAGACTTTACAGAGTGGCGACAGTGAATTGCAGTGGAGGGCAAGGCCAAGCGCACAGCATGGGCAAAGGCCTGGCGGCTTGAACAAGAGTGGCAAATGGCTGGCCATGGGCAGGTGCAGGGAGAGACCCCAGCTTTGCACTCCAAGTCTGGCCTCTGCAGTCCTGCCCCTGGAGCTCAGCGTTGTCCTCTTGTTCCACCACAGGCCCTCAAAGATCTCAAGACACTGGGCTGCAGAAAGGCAATGAAGAAGTTTGAAAGGCACACGCTCCTGGTGAGTGGGGGCCTCAGCGTCGCTGAGAAACCTGAACAAGGAGGGTGCCCGTGGGGCAGTAGCCCTGGAGTCAGAACGCGGAAATCCTGGACTCCAGGCTTACCGTGGACCCCCTGCCTCACCCCAGGGCAGCACACGCCTCCCTCCCTGGGCTTGCTTCCGTCATCTGTCACCAAAGGGGGCACTGGATCGCCAAGCTTCAGAGAACCGTACTAAGCTCACGGTCATGTCACGGAACCAAGTGGCTCAGCCTGGGAGGGACCCCCGTGGGGGTGGGGACAGAGCCGGAGGTGCAGCCGGCTTGGGTCCTGACCCGGGCGTGCGCCCGTCCTGCAGGAATACCTCCTCGGGGAGGGGAACCTGAGCCAGCCCGCCGTGAGGCTCCTGGGAGACGTGATGTCCAAGGACGGCTTCTTCTATCTCAGCTTCGCCGAGGCCCTAAGGGCCCACAGCTGCCTCAGCGACCGGCTCCGGTGAGGGGCGGGGCCAGCTGGCAGGGGCGGGGCCGACGAGGGCCCCGGCGCTCGAGTTAACGGAGTGGGCGGGGCCGTCGGCGTTGGGTGAGGCCGGGCTGATGGGAAGATGAGAAGGGGCTCCCGTGTCTGGCCACACGGGCCTCCTCATCCCGGGTCCTCGGGCGGAACTGGGTAGGAAAGGTTCCCGGAGAAAGGCGTGGCCCAGAGGAGAAGAGGGGCGGTGCCCGGGTCAGCCACTTCTCTGCTCCCTGGTCCTCGGGGGACGTCGGGGACTGGCGAGGGCCGGGGTAGACGGGTGGGCGGGGTCAGCGAGGAGCCGGCAGGTGACGGGGCCGGTAGGGGAGTGGGCGCGGCCTGCGAGAAGGGGCGGGACAAGAAGGGACCCGGCAGGCGAAAACTAGAACCCGGACCCGGGAGTGCGCCGGGATGGGGCCCGCGGGGAGGAGCCGGCGAGGAGGGGCAGTGCCCGAGCTCCGGCATCACGCTCCCGCCCCGCCCGCAGGTACAGCCGCATCGTGGGCGGCTGGGACCTGCTGCCGCGCGCGCTGCTGAGCTCGCTGTCCGGGCCGGTGCTGCTGCACGCGCCCGTCGTGGCGATAACGCAGGGGACACACGATGTGCGCGTGCACATCGCCAGCTCGCGCAGGGCCCGGAGTCTGAAGGCCATGACCGCCGACGTGGTGCTGCTGACGGCGAGCGGGCCGGCGCTGCAGCGCATTACCTTCTCGCCGCCGCTGTCGCGCAGGCGGCAGGAGGCGCTGCGCGCGCTGCACTACGTGCCGGCCACCAAGGTGTTCCTGAGCTTCCGCCGGCCCTTCTGGCACGACGAGCACATCGAGGGCGGCCACTCGAGCACCGCCCGCCCGTCGCGCGTGATATTCTACCCGCCGCCGGGCGAGGGCGCGCTGCTGCTGGCCTCGTACACGTGGTCGGACGCGGCGGCCTCGTTCGCCGGCCTGAGCCCGGAAGACGCGATGCGCGTGGCGCTCGACGACGTGGCGGCGCTGCACGGGCCCACTGTGTACCGGCTGTGGGACGGCAGCGGCATCGTCAAGCGCTGGGCCGAGGACCCGCATAGCCAGGGCGGCTTCGTGGTGCAGCCGCCGCTGCTCTGGCGTGAGGACAAGGAAGAGGGGCCGGACTACGACTGGGCGGTCCCCTACGGCCGCATCTACTTCGCGGGTGAGCACACGGCCTACCCGCACGGCTGGGTGGAGACCGCTGTCAAGTCGGCGCTGCGTGCGGCGGTGTTGATCAACAGCCGAGACGGGCACATGCTGGTCGACAGCGACACCGAGGATGGGGTTGTGCGCCTGGTGCCCAGCCGTCCCCGCTGCGAGTTCGAAAAGGCTGACGCCACCCACTCCCCGGCTGCACAAAGGATAACCGCTCAGCACACCACCCACAAGAGCCCCGAGCATTAAAAGTATTTTCAGAAAAAGCCGTGTGCGCCTGCCCTCTCCCTGGGTTCAGTCGCTTCCCCCGTTGTGTGGAGCAAAGCCATTAGCCTTAGCGGGAGAAGCGGCTGCGCCTATTCTGGAGCCCCCAGAAGCTGTCCTCCTCTTCCCTGGGTGGTGGGGCTCCGCTGGGGGCGGGGGACAGGACCGACACTGCTTTGCGCCACTGGGAAATGGTAATCACAGTGTCCACTCCGGCTGTCACGAAACAGATAGAGTCCTGATGCCAGTAACAGCACGACGGACAGTGGGTTAAACACGAGTTTATTTTTTTTTTTTCACGTAACAAGAAGCTGGTAAGCAGAGTCCCCAGAGCGTCTCAACAGCTCTGCAGGCTCTTCCATCTCGGTTATGTCCGGGATGTGTCCCCGCACAGCTACTGGTGGTGGCCATACCCCCGCACCCCATCCTCCTCCAAAAGCCCCAGATCCAGGCGGGGGACAGAGCCCTACCTCCACGAGCCCACAAGGGTCCTTTTCCTACGTCTCATTGGCTGGATCAGGATCACGTGGTCAGATGTCGGCTCGGCAGCTTGGCCAGAAGGGACCCCGAGCCACCACCCCCTCCCCATGTGGGTCCATGCCAAGGTGGCAGGCTCCTTCCTCCACCTACACGAGGACAACTGGACACGAGAAGTGTCCGTTTAAGGAAATCAGCTCATTGGGAGGGCACGGGAGGCACGGCGGGAAGGCCCGCCCTGTCCACACCCTTCCTCCCCAGCCTCTGGGAGCCGGATAAAGTGCCTGTGCTGGGCGGGCCCACCGGCCCAGGGGGGTTAGGATTCTGCGCTTTCCTCTTCCTCCTCCTCCTCCTCTGGCAGGATCTCCAGGCTGCTGTCGGGCTGCGGGGCTGTGTCCTCGGGGGGCGGTGGGGCCGGTGGGGCCCGGGTGGGCGAGAGAGGCAGTGGAGAGGTAGGGGGCGAGGGACTTTGGGGCTCTGCGGGGGGCACCAGACCCAAGACCTCCTGCACGTTGTGGGGCAGCTCCTGGAGGGGTGCGGGGTTGAGGCGAAACGTCAGCGGTTTTCCCCCCGGAGGTGGGGGCGGTTGGGTGGGGAAGGCTGTTGGGAGAGGTCGGGGACTCACCGGGCAGGCGGTCAGCTGCCGGTAGAGGGCCTCAGCCCGCGTCAGCACGTCCTCCACGCTCAGCTTCATGGTCAGCTCGTTGATGTGCTGTGGGAGGGGGTGGGTCAGGCCTGCCTGCCTGCCTGTCAGCACTCAACCACCACCGCCCGAGCGCCCACTCTGTGCCTCGTGCTGGGGATACAATGGAGGAAAGACAGACTGGGTGGAGCCCGGGCTGGGGGGAGGGGATGTCATGCCCTCTCCAGTGGCTTGCCACAGGCAGGATACAACGAAGGGAAAGGACACTGAGCTCACCCCCTGTGGCCCTGCCTCGCATTAATGTACTGGGAAAGGGGCAGGTCCCCCCTCATGTGCTGGCCACACTCTGGGGGCACTGCTGGGAGCCAGGGGTGGGATGCAGTAGGAGAAAAAGGCCGGGTCTCATGGCCATGGTGCTCACCCACCGCTTAGCCAACCATACTTTGAATAATCCTATTTTGAGTACCTACTACCCCAAGGCCCTCGGCACAGGCATAGTGCCAGCCTCCATGGAGTTCACACCCCAGCTGACGTGTCTCCAATTAGAGAGGACAGGATGGGCAGGGAGGGGGGAGGACCGGGAAGGAGCCAGGGCCTCACCTTGAGGATCTCATTGGAGCCGAAGCCAGAAAGCATGAGGGTGTCACGCTCCATATCCAGAATGGCACAGGCCACCAACAGGTGCAGATTGGGACCAGGGAGCCCTGTCCACAGCACCTGGGGGAGCCGGAGCGAGGAGTCATGGCCCAGCTTCTGCCGGAAGTCCCACCCAGCTCTGCCCCATCCCCTGCCCACTTCCCACCAACCTCCCAGCCTGGGACAGCTGACTGATTTCTCTTTCCTCTCTGCCCTCCCACCCAAACTGGCGGGCCCACCTCCCATAGCCGAAGGACATCCGGGAAGGGGAATTCCCTCTTGAACCAGATGAGCAGCCACCGGAAGCAGAAGCAGAGAGAGCCAGAGTCCTGGGAGTCTGGAGGAAGACAGTGGTGGGAGGGAGGGGTGCTCAGCAAAGAACAAGCTCAAAATCCATTCCAATCCCATCCTAATTCATAGCGTGCAGGCTGGTCAGACTGAGCTTCTAAGAAGTTATCCTGGCTCTAAGAATCTCTACCAGTCTAGGCAAGTAACGTATGCCCAGCATGAGAAGGCTTCAGAGCTGAGCCAGGAATGCTCTGTGTCAACAGGAACCCTTCCCATCCTGCCTTCCAGATTCCAGATGAAGTGAGTTAATCCCGTGTCCCACCGTCACATAGAAGGGATGCTGGACACTCGGGGAAAAAATAAAATCTCTCAATACCCAATGCTGGTGGAGGCATGAGGAGGTGTGAAAATGGACACTCACGGACTCGGCTAGCAGAAACATAAGCTGGTAAGAATTTCCAGGAAAGCAATGATGGGAACAAACATTTCAAAAGCTGTAAAAAGATCTACTGCCCCAAATACAATCAATGCCACTTCTTGGAATTTAGCCTAAAGAAATTATCCAGACGATATGCAATGTGATGAAAAATTGCAAATGACTGCAATGTCCCGCAGATCAGGTTAAATCTGTTCTTGTGCATACTTCAGACAGCCACATCGCCAGTCGGGCAGCTCGTGTCCAAGCGCCCCTGGAAGTGGCACGCCCAGGCCCCAGGCCCCTCATCTGCAAAGTATGGGGTTGAGGGGGGCCTGAAGGAGCCAGCCTGTGGGGGGGCAGGGTGCGTAGGCGTGCGCTCACAGCTGCGCTCGCTGGGGTTTCGCTCCAAACCGCAATCCTGCTTGTACATGTAAATTTTGGGTTCCGGCTTTTGCAGGGATGTTTCCCTTGTCTGGATCAGGACCCAACGTCCTGGACCCCGTCAGCGGCCACTTCCAGAGACTCTGTGGCGGGGCTTGTGGCCCCACCCTCCCTCGCCCGCCCGCGGAGACACTCACCCAGGAAGTCACAGAGCGGTGGGTCCAGCACCCTCAGGAGCAGCAGGAGTTGTCCGAGCTGCCGCTTCATTGTCTCCTGACTCTCCTCGAAGTTCCCGTGCTGTGGGAGGCAGGGCCACGTGAGGAACCAGACCCCCATCCTTTGGGGGGGCTTGTCTCCCACGCCTGCCGTGGGCCTCACCACGAGCTCCATGAAGCCACAGAAACACCAGAAGGCGTCCACCTCGTTCTGAATGACGTAGAGGATCGGGGAGAGAAGGTCACTCATGCCCTGGACGTAGCCTGGGGTTGGGGGTGGACAGGAGGTCAGGGCCCAGCCCAGGCCCCCAGCCACCCCCGCAAGGGAAGGCCTGGCCCCCAGCCCCTCCCCGGGCTGGTGTCGCACCAAGGTCAAAGTGGTACATGCAGTAGGTGAGGAGGATGTCGTTCAGCAGGCCCAGCCCTGGGTTCTCAGGACCCTCATAGAATTTGTTGGTCCGATCGGTACGGCTCACGTCTCTCTCTGTGAAGACAGGGCGCAGAGTGCGAAAGTGAGAAAGCTGTGGGGGCCCCTCCCTCCTGGCCACGGGCACCAGCCCCCACTCCTCTCTTCGGCCGACCCCAGGCAGGTGTGAGTAGGTCCAGATACCACTCCGAACACCCTCACATGAGGCACTCAGCCTCCCAGCAACTGACAGTTACTAACCCATCCACAGATGGGAAATTGAGGTCCAAGGAGGCAAAATCACTTGCCAAGATCTGATGGCAAATAGACGGCAGATTTGAACCCAAGGAGTCTGGCTCCCTTCCCCTGCTCCCCCTCTCCCCCTGCCCCATCCCTGGCCACTCCCAACCCCTGCTCCCTGCCCATCTCCCCACTGCAGATGACGTCATCCCTACTGCTGGGGAGGCAGGGGCTTCCCCTGTCCCCTCCCTGCTATCTGCCACGTCTCCACCCCACCCCCTGGCCCTGCAACCTACCGATGAGGCTGCGGTAACCGTGCAGCAGTGAGTTCCTTCGCTCCTGCTCGGGGCTCACGGATTTCCACTGCAGCTTCATTCGGAAGTACTCATCCCTGAGGGGGAGGGGAAGGGGAGACATGAGGCCACCGAAGCAGGCCACCTACTCATCCTTGCCACAGTCCCCATGCTGCTCCTTTCTGACATCTCTCAAGACCCACAACATCCTTGTGAGCTTTTCTTTAAAGTTTTGTTTTTTTTAAGCGATCTCTACCCCCAACGTGGAGCTCGAACTCACGACCCGAAGATCAAGAGTCACATGCTCTACTAACTGAGCCAGCCAGGCACCTCCCTGTGGGCTTTTGTTTGAAGTCTGTCATCCCCGCCGGACAGACAGCACGGGGCGGGGACCAGGACACGCAGTCGGGGCACAATGTGTACCAGGAATGAGGAAAAGCGGGCCCCCCGGGGTCAGGAGGCCCACCGCAGTGACGACGGCTGCGACATTATGTTGCTGGGACGAAAACTGACGCCCACGGGAGACGAGGCTGCCTGCTTACTGCCATCTCCGTGTGCGACCGCGGCTGCCCAGCACGTGACGGGCTCACGACAGACGCCTGGGGAGCGAGCCCATCTGCGCACCTGTGATGTGCCAGGTACCGTGCTGGGACGGGGGACAAGTTGGACTCGGGAGGCCGGAGCCGGGCGGCCGGAGCTTCGCTCACTCACGTTTTCTTGCGCACGTGGGCCTTGTGCTCCTCGGCTGAGCCCTCCCAGCTGAGGTACCCCAGGAGGAACTTCCAAGCTTCGCGCCTTAGGCCAGGGCTCAGACCCTGGGGGAGAGAGCGGCCAGAGGCTCAGAGGGGCCCCTGAGGCCCCCCACCCCAGGCCCCCCCCACCGCACAGCACACACCCGGCACCTTACCCCCGAGAAGATGCGGGCCTTCAGCATGGGGACCTGCTGCAGGCGGCCCTCGGGGCCCACATGGTGGGCCCACTCCTCCTC